TTGTGTGTGTGCATGTATCTATGTTTGTCTATGTATACATGTGTGTGTGTTGCTGTGTGCACATATATGTGTTTGAGTGTGTGTTTCAGTGTGGGAGGAACAGCCTGGTCCTACAACAGACCCACGTACTAGTGGAGAGGGTCGTGTCTCTGGACGATCAATGTGTGTGTGTGTGTGTGTGTGTATGTGTGTGTGTGTGTACGCACGCAGGCTTGTTTGTCTATCTTTGTCTATGTGTACATGTGTGTGTGTGTGTCTGTGTTTGTCTATGTATGTGTGTGTTGTGTGTGTGCACCTATATGTATGTTTGTGTGTGTGTTTCAGTGTGGACGGAACAGCCTGGTCCTACAACAGACCCACGTATTGGTGGAGAGGGCCGTGTCTCTGGACCATCACAGCGCCGACATTGTCAACGAGATGGGGTGCCAGCTCATGATGCAGGGGAAGGTGGGTCTGTTTGTCTGTCTGTCTGTTTGTCTGTCTGTCTGTCTGTCTGTCTGTCTGTCTGTCTGTCTGTCTGTCTGTCTGCCTGCCTGTCTGTCTGTCTGTCTGGTTGGCGGGTGCTGTGGTGTAGTCTGCTCCTTCTTTCTTTCAAAACTTTATTCTTCCGTAAGCTGACAAAAAAACTCTATTTTCTTTACAGCAGTTTCAAGAAAAAAAGTTTTTTTTTGTCAGCCTGACCATTGAGTCACTGCAAAATTTGAATTCTGATTTATTTAAAAACTAGTCACAGTTTCACTTAGATTTTTTTCACACAAATAGAGTAACTGATCAGACTTTCGATTCAGCAAATAAAAAATTTTGGCACCTGTGGTTTATTTGGCTGTTTGTTGGGCTATCTGGCGTGTTGGTCAATAACAAGAAGTTAGGCTTAGTCTATTGTATTTTTTGGCGCAAGTGCGTAGAGAGAGTGAGTAAATAAGTGTGAGATGAGTTTTGTCTGGATGACAGCAGGGTAGAGGGAAGAGCTGTGTCGAAGCAGAGGAGGCCTGCAGAGATTTTGGCGTGAGGAAAGGGGGAATGGCTGTTTTGAGCCTCAGTCTATTTCTGTGCTTGTGTTGTGAGATTCCAACACTTCGGGGCCCCACCGCAGAGGAAAGGACCACACGATCTGGAGAGAGAGACAGGTTTGGCTAACCCTTGTAACTGTAAACGCATCTCCGCAGGGAACCAAAAAGTTAGTGTTGAATATTCTTTCATGTACAAGTAATAACAACACCAAAATAAAAAAAAAACATTTTGTCAGCTTACGGCAGTATTGCCCTTATCTCTCTTACTTCTTCTCTTTGTGTATTGCTCTCTAGTAGTAATAACTCTTATCTCCTCTACTTGAAGGAACCTATTTGTATTATAAGTGCTGTAAATCTGATATGAACACTAAATTTGAAAATACTTATTTACATTGAAGTTTTTTCGAAGAACTTAATTACTTTTTTTGCTGCAAGTTAAGGTTTTGTTTTTAGTTGTTTCTTTTTTTAAATAAAAAAAATATTTCTGCTTCTTAAATCTATTTTTTCATCTATATATTTATTTTAAAAAAAGATAAAGTGATGGTCTGTCAGATTATGTGAAAACTGAATTTTTAAAATACTTATGCCAAAGCTTCTTCAAAGGACTTGATTGCTATTTGTGTTGCAAGTACTGTAAAGTAATACGAAACGTAGATTTCAGAATTCTTACATCAAAACTTCTGCAAAGAACTCTGTTGCTTTTTCGTGTTGCAAGTGATGTGAACTTTTACTACAAACTACAACTAAACCAGGTGAAGTGGGTGGTTGGTTGGTGCTCTGATGTGGTCTGCTCCTTCTTTCCTATCAAGCATCTATCGTCCTTATCTCCCCTTCTTCTTTTTTATGTTTGTTACTCTGTTGTAACACCTCTAATGCTCAGCGCTTATATGACTTCATTGTGTTTCAAGTGCAGTAAAAATCTTACTAAAACTAAAAAACCAGGTGAAGGAAGCCATGAAGTGCCACCGCTCGGCCATGCAGATGGATGAGTCAAGCGTGTCGGCCCTCACGGGGATCATCAGCTGTCAGCTGCTGTTGGGACACGTGGACGAGGCTGCACAACAGCTTGAGTTTCTCAACGAGATTCAGCAGAATATCGGCCGCTCCGCTGTGAGTTCTTTGGGGTTTTTTTTTAGTTTTCTTTCTTTCTGTTTTTTTTTTTCTTTCTTTTTTTTGTTGTTGTTGTTTTTTTGTGGTTGTTTTTGTTCTTTTCTCTTTTCTCTTTTCATATTTTTGCTTTTTAAAAAATTGAAAAAGAAAGCGATTCTCTGTCAGATTATGAAAAAACTAATTGTTTTGACCACTACAGAAATAAGTCTCTTGTCGCACTTGATTGTTTTAAGATACCGAGCGAGCAGAAGTCTTGACTTTCTCACAACTGCGTGTTTCTGACTTAACAACTTCAAGTGAAGATAACTTTGGAACCAAAGCAACCAGACTGATAGTGTGTACACCCACTTGTACGGCTTTACAATCTTAGTAATCTATGTTATTAGCCTAGCAGACCCTACAAACAAATCAGAAAAGTTCTTGGCTTCCCAAGATGTATACAGTGCAAGCAGCTGATGATTAATAAGTTAAAACTAATAATTACTTCCTGAAAGATGTAAATTGTGGAGGTGAGGATGGAATGCTTTGACAATTTAAATTCCAATTACTGATCTAAATTTTGCGGATGGGGGTGTAAAACTTTGGCAATTTCAATTTTTGTTCCTGTACCCCTCAGAAAGTGGATGGTTGGTGGATTCGTCTGTTGTGGTTTGCTCCTTCATTTTCATCCGACATCTATTGTCCTTTTCTCTCCTCCTTCTTTTCTTTTGTATTTTACTTTTTAGTTCAGCTGAAATCTTTGGCACTATTATTACTTATTCGTGTCACAAGTGCTGTAAAAGGCTTACTTAAACTCCAACACTGAGTGTGATCAGCGGGCGCTCTGGTGCGGTGTTTTCCTCCTTTCCTATCAAACATGTGTCGTATTTATCTCTCTGCCTTCATTTTCTGTTTCTTACTTTGTTGTAACACCTCTAAACTTCGGCACTATTATGACCTTACTGTGTCACGAGTGCTGTAAAACTTTTATTCAAACTAAATCTTCGGCACTTTTATGACCTATTTACGTTGCAAATGCTAAAAAACTCTTACTAAGACTTAATCTTTGACTCTTTTATGACTTATGTATAGATTATAAAATGCATTAGAGCCTTGTGCTATATAAATGCTATTTATTCATCATTTTATTATTATATGGGTTGTAAGCGCTGTTAAACTTTTACTTAAACTAAATCTTTGGCACTGTTATGATCTATTTGTGTTGCAAGTGCCGTAAAACTCTTACTTGGTGGGTGGTTGGCGGGTGCTCTGGTGTGGTTTGCTTCTTCTTTCCTATCAAACATCTATCGTCCTTATCTCCCCTTCTTTTTTATGTTTGTTACTCTCTTGTAACACGTCTAATCTTCTGGTACTCATATGACCTAATGCAGTTGCGAGCACCGTAAAACCTCTACTAAAGCTAAAGCTAACTCTTACTTGAGCTTAATCTTTGGCACAGTTATTACCTATTTGTGTTGCAAGTGCTGTAAAACTCTCCCTTAAACTCCCACCACTCCAGGAGTTGGCCTACCTGTCTGCCGTCCTGGCCAAGAAGAAGGGCCGGGGGCCAGAGAAGAGCATGGAGCTCCTGAACGAGGCGATAGAACTGCACTTTGCCGGACTCAAGGTCAGAGCTGTGACTGGACACAAAGCTTTTGTCGTCACTGTCTAATTGTTGCCGTAATGTTGTTGTCGTTGTTATGTTCTCATCACTGTCATGTCATTGTCGCCTTCATGTTGTCATCACTTTCATGTTTTTGACATTGTCATGTTATCAATGTCATATCATCACTCTTTAGTTGTCACTGTCTGGTTGTCGTTCTTATGTCTTCTGTCATATCGTCATCACTATCATATCGCCACTGTCATGTTTTAACTGTCATATGATCACTGTCACATCATCACTGTCGTGTCATGACAATCCTATCATCATCAATGTCATGTCATGGTTGTCATATCATCATCACTGTCATAAAATCATTGTGACTATCATGTCATCATCGTTCATGTCGCCATTTCTGTCAAGTTGTCACTCATTCATTATGACAATCCTGTCATCTTCACTGTCGTATCATGGTTGTCTTATCATCATTGTCATTTCCTTGTTAATGTCATATTATTGCCCCTGTCATAAATGTCGTTTATTATGTTGTCACTGTCATATCTTTATCAGAATCCTAATTTTATCATAGTTATTATTATTATTGAGGTTGATATTAATGTAATCACAATCCTAATTTTATTATAGTTATTATTATCATTATTGAGGTTAATATTAATATTACCTTTCGCTGGTCTATTAACAGGGTCTGCCTTTGGGTATTGAATATTTCTGCAAACTCAACCCAGATTTCCTGCTGCAAGTCATCAAAGACTATCTGCAGTTTGGCCCACAAGTGGTAAGAAGGCACGGGGGAATGGCAGAGAGAGAGAGAGAGAGAGAACTGACTCCTCTTGTCTCTAACTTTTTGTGAAAGAAAAAAAACACAACCTTTTTCTTTTTCGCCTTGTTCTTATTAGTATCCATGGTTAGCCACCGTTTTTATTTTCCCTCCTGTATTATTTTAATTTTCTGAACTGGGGGCGTAAAATGTATATAATTATTACTGTCAGTCGTTATCAGAGTTATGGTACCTGATACTCCACCCCCCCACCCCCTTCCTCCCACCCCTCCCCCATTCTCTTTCTCACTACTTTCCTCCCCCTCCTCCTTCTCCTCTTCTTCTTCCCCATCCTCTTCCCGTCTCCTCTTCTTCTTCCCCATCCTCTTCCCCTTCTCTCTTCCCCTCCCTCATCCTCCCTTCTAACTTTACTTCCTCTATGGGTGGTCGACGGGTGCTCTGGTGTAGTCATCCCCTTCTCTGTTATCAAACATGTGCCTACCTTACCTCTCCTATTTTGAGTTTGTTACTCTTTTTTAGCTCATCTAATCTTGAGCACTTACATGACCTAATTGTGTTGCTAAAGCAGTAAAACTCTTACTTAAACAAAAACATTACTTCCTCACCCCCTACCCCCCCCACCACCTCTCTTCACCACTTACACGACCTAATTGTGTTGCAAATGCCGTAAAACGCTTACTAAAACAAAATCATTATTTCCTTCCTGCGCCACCCCCTCCCCCCCCCCCCCTCCCCCCCCTCCCTTCCCCCTCCTCCCTCCTTCCCCACTCCCTCCATCCCCACTCCCTCCCCCCTTAAAAACAAAACAAACCAAAATAAAAAACGAAACAAAACAAACCAATCAGCCGGTGACGTCGGGCCAGCCCATCAGTCCTGTGCTGAAGCGATGCCACCAAGTCCTTGACCCCCTGACCCGCGCCGTGCCTGGTCTGATGGAGGGCTTGTTCCTTATCGCCAAGGTCAAGTTTCTGGCAGGTCGGCAACGTTGACTATTGTTGTTGTTGTTGCTGTTGTTGTTGTTGCTGTTTTTTGTTGTTTGTTTTGTTGTTGTTATTATTTTTGCTGTTGCTGTTTTCTATTTGTTTTTATTTGGTGTTGTTGTTGCTGTTGTTGTTGTGTTGTTGTTATTGCTGCTGTTGTTATAATTATTGTCCTTCTTCTTTGTTATTGTTTTTGGTCTGATATTGTTATTGTTGTTTTTGTTGCTGTTTTTATAATTATTGTTTTTAGTTCTTTTTCTTCTACATCTTGTTTTTTTTCTTACTTTCTTTATCGGTCTCTTATTTCTTTCTACTCTTCTTTGTCTGTCTATCTTTTTCTGTCTGTTTCTTACTTTTCTCTCTCTCTCTCTCTTTCTCTCTGTCTCTCTCTCTCTGTCTCTCTCTCTCTCTAC